CTGAGCCAGCCAGTCCCCACCCTGGGCTGGATGAGTCTGGGTAGCCCTTAGTAAGGAAAGGCCCCCAGCCAGTCTCAGATCAGTGCCCCCCAGAGGGGATGGGCCCCTTACCCGCTGGGGTGGGGCGTGGATCAGGGCCCGGTAGAAGCAGGTGGTCTGGGGATACAGCGCCAACACCAGCTGGTCCTTCTGGAACAGCGCCTCAGGGTCTGTCTCAGGGTTCGCCTTCCACTGGGGCAATGGGATGATGCGGCGGCGGCTCAGGGTGTGACGCCTGGGAGGGGGGCGGGGGGAGACAGGGTGAGACAGGGACCCCCTCTCCGGACGAGAAAGCCTCCCCATCACCACCACCTTCCCCTCTCCGTTCCTCTCCTCTCCTCTCACTTACTCTTTGCCTTCTTCATCGATATCATCCACCTCGTACCTGCAAAGAGAGGAGTCGTCGCCATGAGGGGCTAGGCAAGTGGAGGACCTAAGGCTGCAGGACCATAGAGCCATCTCCACTGAGCGGCTAGAGAGGCATTACTATGCAGCGCTTAATGGAGAACCATGGAGCCATCTCCTTTGAGTGGCTAGAGAGTATCTATGCCCCTAGAGCTGCAATACCACAGAACATCTCTGTCAAGTCCCTAAATAAGCACACTCCAGCACCATAGAGCCGCCACCCTCGAGCAGCTAGAGGGGAGCCTCCATTCCTCTAAGGTGGTAGGACCAGAGTCACACCTGCTGCAAAGTTGGAAAGGGGTTTCTATGCTACCAAGACAGCAGAAACCATAGGGATGCCATCCTGAAGTGTCTGGAGAGGTGTTTCTACCTCTCTAAGGTGGTAGAACCATAGAGTTACCCTTCTGAAGTGGCAAAAAAAAGGGGACTTAAGTCCAAAAGATTGCAGGATCATAGAGCCATCTCCCTTGAGGGCCTAGATTGGCACTTCTAGGCAGGATTGTCTGGTACCCCTTGTCGCCCAGCTGTATGGTTAGATGCCCCAAGCTGGCTGTAGCTGAGTGGGGCTGACTCCTCCCAGGAGCCCCGGGGACCCACACCCGGTGCTCACTTGTTGGTGGCATGGCTGTAGCTCACCACCTCGGCCAAGATCCATTGCTCGTCCCCATCCACAGCCTTGACGCGAGCAGCCACCTTGTCCCCCGGCTTGGCCACGTAATCGCTGGCAGCGGGGATCGCGCCGCAGAGCGGGGGCGGCCTACGGGGAGAGGAGGGCGAGGTTACCTGGGGTGTGGGGACAGAGTCCCACCCCGGGCTGCCCTGGGCGACCCCAGCGATACTCACTTGTCCCCAGGTTTGCCGATCCACAGGGGCAGTGTCATGGCTGACTGCTGGAGGAGGGTCATGAGGACGCCCCGGCGCATGGTCTTGCGGGGCGGCTCTGAGTCGTTGTAGAGCCCGGCAATCTTGGCAGCTGCGGGTGGGGGGAGAAAGGGAGGTGAACCCCATAGAGCTAGGGGGAGCCCTCTCTTCCTGCCCCCAGGGACTCGGACACACAAACTGACCCCACTGCAGACACTCTGACCCTGTGTTCACATGCCACCCAGCCCAGATTGCCACACCCACCCTGGGCGCCCCACCTCTCCCATTCACCCCATTGATGAGACTGCAGGCCCTGGCTCCCCGACCCCAGCACCCCCAAGCAGAGACACCCAGCCCCAGGGGATCATGGGAGTTCCCGCCCACCTCAGAGAAACTCCATCATCCAAGCCTCAAAGGATTATGGGAGTTCCTGCTCATGCCGAGTGCCCCCAGTGTGGGGCTGGACCCCATGGCCTATTCTGGGGGGAGGACACTCACCAATGCGCCGCTCCTCCAGAAGGGATTTGATCTCTGCAATCTTGTCCAGCGCCTTGCGTAGGATGCTGGGGGTGAGAGGACAGACAGGGGGTGAGCAGTGGGGCGGGGCCATCGGCAGCTGCGGGGGGCGGGGAGCAGGGGCACTCACTTGCACTCAGCCTCCGCGTCAGCTTTGGCAGTCGTGTAGAGTCCACGAAGCTTGGTCCGGTAATATGGGGAGACTGCAGGAGATGGGGGTGTTAGAACCCAGGAGTCCTGGCTCCCAGCCCCCCCTGCTTTAACCCACCAGACCCCCTTCCCTCCCCTCCTCTCCCCTCCCAGAGCCAGGGAATGAACCCAGGAGTCCTGGCTCCCAGCCCCCCCTGCTCTAACCCACCAGACCCCACTCCTCTCCCAGAGCAGGGAGAGAACCCAGGAGTCCTGGCTCCCAGCCCCCCCTGCTCTAACCCACTAGACCTAAGAGCTATCGACTGAAGTACAGAAACGTCAGGTGTTTGACTATGTCCCTCATGTTGAGTGTGTGGATAAAATGTGGTCTTTGATGCGATAATGGGGGCGGGGGCTGAAGGGGACTGTGGAAAGCTGTCCGGTCCGATGCCAGGAGCAGCTGTTATGGGTAATTCCAGGGGAGGTGTAGGCAGCCGTGAGGTGAAAACCATCCACAGGTTTAGAGGCTGCAGAAATTGCCGTTGAATGAGGGGCCCATGGAGGATGCAAGTCGCAGGGGAAGGGAAACCCCCCAGGCACCCAGGGTAAGAGGGGGGAGGGGATTGGAAGGAAACCCAACCCCAACCCTGATAAAACCCCACAATCCGCACCCCCACCTGCCACAGTTTGGTTTTCTCTGGCCAGGCGCCCCCCAGTGGTGGCAGACGTAGGGGCTTTAACCTCTGGGCTCCCGGGGTTTTTATCAGGGCTTATTCTTGTGATTGCCAGGATCGCCTCCAGGCGTCTGGTCCAGAGGCTGATCTAAGCAATAGGGAACATACCACCGCTGGTAGTTCTGCAATTTCCTTCAGAACTCTTGGGTGATACCATCTGCTCCTGGTGACTTGTTACTGTTTCATTTATCAATTTGTTCCAAAACCTCCTCTACTGACACCTCAATGTGGGACAGGTCCTCGGATTTGTCATCTAAACAGAATGGCTCCGGTGTGGGAATCTCAGCGAAGAAAGATGCACTGGCCTTATCTTCCTTGAGTGCTCCTTTAGCACCTTGATCGTCCAGGGGCCCCACCGATTGTTTGGCAGCTTCCTGCTTCGGATGGACTTCTTCTTTGTTGCTGTTAGTTTTTGTGTCTTTTGCTAGTTGCTCTTCAAATTCTTTTTTTGTTTTTTGGCCTGCCTAATTATACAAAATCTTGACTTGCCAAAGTTTATGCTCCTTTCTATTTCCTCAGGAGGATTTAACTTCCAATTTTTAAAGGATTCCTTTTTGCCTCTCACTGCCTCTTTTATTCCGTTGTTTAGTCGTGGTGGTAGTTTCTGGTCGGCTTACTGGGTTTTTTTCAATTTGGGGTACACATTTAATTTGTGCCTCTATTACGGTGTGTTTAAAATGTTTCCACGCAGCTTGCAGGGATTTCACTCCTGTGACTGTTCCTTTTAATTTCCATGTAACTAGCTTCCTCGTTCTTGTGTACTTCTCCTTTTCTAAGTTCAATGCTACTGTGGTGGGCTTCTTTGGTATTCTTCGCCCCCACCCCCCAAAGAATGTTAGATGTAATTACACGTTGATCACCACTGCCATGTGGTTCCTCTCTGTTGACCTCTTGGACCAGATCCTGTGCTCCACTTAGGACCAAACCAAGAATTGCATCTCCTCTTGGGGGTTCCAGGACCAGCTGCTCCAAGAAGCAGTTGGTATGGCTGTCTAGAACAAGCCATGGCGGGTAGTGAAGAATTGATGAAGAGGGCTGTGGTAAGGGCTGGAGGGACACCGCACCCCAAGTCACTTTGGTCAAGGGAAGTTTGGTAAGGGAGAAATATAGGTAAAAACTTACAAATATGAGTTCTGGCCAAATTCCCTGTCTCTGTACCTTTGGCCACGGTTTACCTGGAGCGTGAGGACTTTCCAGGGGTAGTATTCTGGGCATTAGGAATCTGCTTCCCACGCCTGTTTTATGAGGTAAGGACACTGGAGCCACGTCTCAGCAGGGTAATGTCAGAACTCGCAGCCAGAAGTCTGGCTCTGCCGCGCTGGCTTATCTGTGGCCAGCAGGGAGGAGAAACGCCCTCAGGCCTTTGCCAGCGGAAAGTAACCGTTTGTCCCCAGAGGAGAGTTTGGAGAGTCCATTGCTTCGCCAGAGTCGGCTCCTAACGCGAGTGAGACTCCAAGGGAGTTTATGGAGGCTCACCAGGCTGCCCCCCGGCCAGGGAGAGGAAGGTGGCTCAGAATAACGCCTCTGTCGGCTTTTCAAGAGGTTTGCCGTGCGGAGGGAAAAAGAGGCACCCTGCTGCGGTTTGCAAGCAGGCGTTGGGCCTGATAAGGGCAGGACTGAGCTGCTGCACGTGGCTCATGACTGCCCGTGCTGGACAGTGAGGCGTGGAGAGAACCCGTGCGAGGCTCAAACGAGGCTCCTGGCCTTGCGTTTGAGACAGTGAAAATCACAGTACGAGTCGTGTCAGAAGCGCCAGCAGTTACAGACCCTGCGGGGCACCTCTGCCTATCGCTAAGGAGGTGTTTGCCAGAGGGTCTGGGGACATTGTGGGCCCCCTACCCTGGCCTCCCAGGAACGGAAAGAAACAGACTGGGAGTGGTGGGTGCTGCCGCTAGGTACCCTGAAGGCCCAGCTCTGTCTGATATAGAAGCTGAAACTGGCTACTGCCCTAGTCACCATTTTTAGCCAAATTGGTTTCCCCGGGGAAATCTTGTCAGACCGGGGTGCACATTTCATGTCTGCAGTTTTCAAAAAGTGACGGGTGTTGAGCGGAGTGAGGGATGTGAAAGCTGCCCCCCATCGCCCAGTGACTAACGGTTTGGTAGAAAGATTCCATGGGGCCCTGAAGTCTATGCGGGCGCTGTATGGTACAGCGTGAGAGAATGATTGGTGTGTTGCTCCCTGATTTGTTATCTGGGTACAGGAGTGTCCCCCCCAGAGTCTATGGGATTTGCCCCCTTTTATCTCTGTGATGCTAACAGGCCAGCTCAGCCCAACAGGTCAATTCACTTGCGTGTGACCACCAAAGAAATGCTAAGTGAACGAATTCACTCGAATGTT